GGGCGTGGTGGCTGGCGCCTGTAGTCCCAGCTACTCGGGAGGCTGAGGCAAGAGAATCACTTGAACCCGGGAGGCGGAGCTTGCAGTGAGCCAAGATCGTGCCACTGCACTCCAACCTGCTGACAGAGCGAGACTCTGTCTCAAAAATAAATAAATAAATAAATAAATAAGACACTGGCTGAGGATCCTAGAGGGCCCGGGTCCACTTAGGCCACAGGTTCTCAATCTTGGCTGAAACTGAGGATCACCTGGGAGAACAGAATTGCTGGAAGCAGGGCTCAGGCATCAGTTTTCTACGGGTCGTCAGTTGGTTCTAATGTTGGCGAGAGTGCAGAGTCATAGCTATGGGCCTTATTTTATTTCTGACACTTTTTTTTTTTAGATAGACTCTCGCTCTGTCACTCGTGCAGTGATGTGGTCTGGCTCACTGCAACCTCCGCCTCTCCGGTTCAAGCGATTCTCCTGCCTCAGCCTCCCAAGTAGCTGGGACTACAGGCATGCACCACTACGCCCATCTAATTTTTTTGTATTTTTAGTAGAAAGGAGGTTTCACCATGTTGGTCAGGCTGGTCTTGACCTCCTGACCTCAAATGATCCACCTACCTCACCTCCCAAATTGCTGGGATTACAGGCGTGAAATACTGTGCCTGGCCTAGCTCTTTAATTTCAAACATTTCTGTAGCTTGTTTTGCGTTCATAAACTTTCATCAGAAAAAATGGAAAATCTCTAGGGTCCCTTCTGGGGTCACAATTGCTCCTCCTTCTAATCAGCAGATTCTTTCTTCAAATTTAGATCAACTGTTATCCAGAAAAGTCTTCAGTAATCCCCTTCCATGCTCTTTTGGAACCCTTCATAATTTCTTTGTGGAATTAATTATTTTATCTAATTGGTTATGCAATCATTTGCTTAAAGCTGACCTTCCTCACTGAAATGCAAACTTGCTGATGACCAGCATCTATCTTGCAAACTTGGCCACTTGCACATAAAAAGCATCAATAAATATTTTCAGGATTTCTGAATAAACACAATGCTATGACAGATTCATTCATATAGCCAGAATTGGAAATGATTTATCAGTCTATACCATCAAACTTTTTATGTAAAGGGCCACATAGTAAGTATTTTAGGCTTTATGAGCCACGTAAGGTCTCTGTCGCATATTTTTCACTGGTTTAATTTTGTTTTGAGCAACTTTGAACATGTAAAAACCATTCTTAGCTCCGGGCTTTGCAAAACCAGGCCAAGTCTATACTTCAGTTACAATAACTACATTTCAAATGCATAAATGTTCAATTCTATCAGGATACTAGTCATGCAATTGTTATGCCTCTTCCTATTTCTGTCTATAAAACAAATCTCAAAAGCTGCCTTTGATATTTCGAGTGACAAAGCAGAACACAAGAGGTCTCTCTATTTTCTCCATTTCTTCCGGTCATTAGAGAACATTCTTTGGTCTCCCAGGATTTTTTTGCGGGGAAATAAAAAAGTTTTCCCCTACAGAACTTCAGTTCGCCTGCATCTAACTAGAACTAAATATCTAGGAAACAGCATCCCTCAATTCTCAGGTGATTAATTATTAGAACAGTATATTGTTGTATTCATCTTACCGAATTACTGGAAATAGCCCTAAAACTAATTCTTTCCTACCACTCAGATAATGTATATGACAAAAAATAAGGGCATCAGGATCTTGCATGTGTGTGACTGAGGGTAAATGTGTATGTGTATATCAAGCCAAAAATGATCAAGAGTTCCAGAACAGTGTGGAAGAGAGAGAATGATGACCTGTTGGAACTCCACTTCCAAGAAAGCATATACCCCGAAATCCTTAATGAAGGGTTTCTCTACCACAACCCTGTCGAAATCCTGGGCCTGGTATTTCCGTGTTTAGGGGTAGTGGGGAAAATTATCCTGTGCTTTTAGCAGCATCCCTGGCCATTACTACTGGATGGCAGTAGCACAGCCACTTGCCCCCAGCTGTAACAGCCAAAAATGTCTCCAGACATTGCCAAATGTCTCCTGGGGCAGCGGCAAAAATAACCCCAGGCTGAGAACCCCATGCCTAACCTCTCTCTAAAGAAACTTCACCTCCTTCCTTAGTGATCACTTGGCTTCTGCTTGAGGATCTCCTCGCCTTGCAATCGTCTCAGGTGGAGGCTTTTTTTTTTTTTTTTGAGATGGAGTCTCGCCCTGTCGCCCAGGCTGGAGTACAATGGAGAGATCTCGGCTCACTGCAACCTCCGTCTCCTGGGTTCAAGCGATTCTCCTGCCTCAGCCTCCTGAGTAGCTGAAATTACAGGCACGTGCCACCACACCTGGCTAATTTTTTGTATCTTTAGTAGAGACGAGGTTTCACCATGTTGGCCAGGCTGGTCTCAAACTCCTGACCTCGTGATCCACCCACCTCAGCCTCCCAAAGTGCTGGGACTATAGGTGTGAGCCACCGTGCCTGGCCAGGTGGAGGCATTTTAAGTCAAATCCCTCACACTTGAGGGACAAAATGTGGGAGACCTCCTTGTTCCCCATGAACACTTCCAGATGATTTATTCTCCTCCAAAACCATGAGCTTTTTTGAAAATTCCTGCCACTGGCTAGACTCTACTATCCCTCCTCCTTTCTGCCATCCACTAACCTCTAGTTATTCCCTCCCCTCGTCATTCACTAAATAACTCACCTCCTTGCCCCCGTTCCACCTCTACTCCTATCATTCTTAGTGATTTGGACATCCACATGGAGAGCAAACCTGTGCTCAGGAGGATACCTCGCCCGAGACCTTGAGCCCCTTGCCTCCAGCTAACATTTTCTCCACCACAAAATAGCCACCCATTCCCATCTCACAGCCTCAAAGCGGTCACTATCAGGAACTGTACCACCTCCAGAAGATCAATTCCAAAGTTTACTCCAAACTCTCCAGTGGCTTCCCACCACCCTCAGAGTAAAATCAAATCCGTCACTGTGGAGTCCTGATAGGTAAGTTAGCAACAATGAGGAAGGGGGGTCCCAGGTGGGGGAGAACCATTGTTCCAAGAGATGGTTAACCACAAACAACCCACTTGCACACTATCCTGTTCCCAAATACCTCACTCTGCATGCAGCCCCAGCAGCATCACTTTATTTGCACGTAGCCCCACAAGCAGGACCCTATCAAACTTTACCCCAGCCCCTGCCCCTTGGCAGACAGCCCCTTCTCTGCTGTGCTACCCGTTGCTCCTTTGCAACGTACTTACTCTCTAATAAACTTGCATTCTTCACCTCACTACTGTTGCAGTAAATTATTTTATAACCCAAGGCAACAGCCCCAGTCAGTCACAACCCCGCAACACTCACCAGATGCAAGAGCCACCTCCCTACCTCCCACTTCTCACCACTCTTGCCTACCGGCCTTCTCCTCCTGGAACACACTGAGCTCACTCTCACCATGAAGCCTTTTGCACCAGAACACGCTTCCCCCAGATACATCAATGACTCCCTCACT